GGGGGGGGGGGGGAATCGCGGGGGAGTCGAGTCGTCGCCCGGAGTTCCGCGATCCTTGTTTCCGCGGTCTTAGCAGCGATCTCGGCTTACCCGTTTCGGCTCTACCCGGTCGAAAACGCGATAAAACCAGCAGCGTCTTCGGGCAGTCGCTCGCGCTTGCAGTAAACAAGAACACTTTGTACTCATGTCCAGAATCGGTCCTCGGTGAAAATGATCGCGTTAAATTTCCGGCACATCCGTGTGCTAATATGGACGGTGTTAATTTAACGGTTAAATGTGAAATCACACGTAAATCAGCGTGTGTTAATTTGACATGTCGCGTTTGTATTACGCTCCGTTTCACTCACCTTTCCTGTAGTCAGTCTTTAACGTTCTTTAAGAGGAGAAAACGGTACGTGCGCGCGCTGTACAGAATAAACGAAGCCGTGGGGTCAACCTGACCCTACCTCATCCGTTGAAGAGTCGAGAGTGCGAAATGTTTTACTGCGCGCGAAATCGTCGCGGAAATCGCGATTCGGATTGACGGCGCGGACGGATCGAGAATCGACGGGGGCCGGTTTTCGCGGCGTGCGAGATACCATTCCTCGCGGGAAACCGCCTCTGGGAGCGAGCGACGACTCGAAAAGTACTCGAATCCGTTTCGAATCGGAGAGACACCGCGAGAGAGCGATTCCGTGCAGCCGGAATTGTGTCAAAGTTCCCCCAGACCGTACCGGTGGAAGTCACCCGGAGCGTCCGTATAGGCTCTCGACCTTTTCGAGGTAATCTTAGACCCTCCCCAAGTCGGAGAGCACACATTTGCTTAACCTCGTCGTCTTAGACGTTCCGGATCACTCCTGGCCAACTCCCTCGCGACTCTCCGAGGAACTCCGCGCCGCATTCAGTCGTTGCCACCGTCTCTCCCCCTCCTGCCTAGCTGCAAGGAGGAGCAGCTGTTATGGTCGAAATCACTTTCCCCGCCCCGTCCCTCGTCCTCGCCGCACACCAGCCCATTTCGCAGCCTCTATTTCACTAGATCCTCGCGAAGCCTCGATTACACTCACCTAGAGAACGAGAGAACCGAACGTACCCGCAGCCCTCGGGAGTTTACGCGCCCCCAGCGCGATATCCGAAATACCGTCGCAATAATCCTCCCTTTCGATTTAACCTCCTGCACTCTCACCGCTCGAAATCCACGTCGAACCGTTATGACCCCACCGTCGCCGCCGTCGACGTCGTGGCCGCGAGAATTAGAACAGCCCCTGTCCACGATGTAATCCCGAATGGAGCGAGCGAACGAGCGCGACTCGCCGAGATCGAGCATCGTTTGACTCCGTAAAGCTCGGATCGTGCGTGACGTCGACACGAAGTCTCGTTTCATCATCGAATTAATTATTTTATTTTATAATTTTGATTGAAATAAAAATTGTTAGGAGAAAATTTTTAAAAGAATAAGTATTTGAAAATTAACATTTAGATTATTAACGCAAAACTTCAATTCGAAACTTGAAGATTTTCACGAAATGCAGTCGAATGTGTCACGAATGCAAAGTGGATAATTACGCGCATCCAAATTTACAAATCTATATTTACAAGTCGTGCCACCTAACATAACTTTCCACAGCCTTTATTTCCTCCCTCTGTGCTATCACAGAGCGTCACGNCCCCCCCCCCCTCGCGGTGTAACGTAATTGTTGAATGGTCCTTTACAAGATTGAGCTATGTGACGTTATGCAACATTTTAGTATAATTAACGAGGGTAGGGTGCATCGTGAGATTGTTGTCTTGTCAACGAAGTAACGCTGACGTTATTGATCGCTTAAAACTGCTAACAGAGGAAGGAGGGGGGATATTGATAATTTAATAACGGAAATGCCGATAATGGTGACGAATTGCAACGCAGTGAACGTTAAATAGTGGATACAGTCGTGTAAAGGCACGTTAAGGCGCGCGAGGTCGAACTGCGCGTGAGTACGCTACGTGCTCGCGCGATCATAGCGTCTGAAACCGCCGGGGCGAGCGGGTGAAGGCACGCGTTATTCTTGATTACCCCGGCTTGATTAAAATTACCGTGAGGCAAATCGCGACGCTTCGTGGCCACGATCGCACCGGCATCATCGCGAGTTACGACCCGGATATGTACGAAGGTGAACCATCACGTTTCGTTAGATTGCAGTGTGGGAAACGTGAAATCGAGCCTCTGTGCTCTTAATACGTAGACGTTGATCGAGACGTTCGTCGCTTTATAATTAATTAGGACTTTTTTTGTCTCATCGTCAAGAGCGGTCGCGACGGAAGATGTGGATTTTGGACCGATCGAAGTCACCTCGGCGGTTCGCAGACTTCTCTCGTGCTTTCCTATTTTAAGCCTTCGCGACAGCGAGGCATCTCGTAAAATTTAGAAGATTGCTGGTTTCAGAGGATTTATTCTCAAGTCCGAAGATTAAATTTGAAGGATTACATGTCCCTCTCTCTCGCGCGCGCGCGCGCGCAAAAAGAGCTTTACGAAATAAAAGACAGAAATATTCTTAATACATCGGCTCGGAACGATCTGGCGAAAGCAGGAATAATGTAAAATAAATTCTCTTCTTATGCGAGATTAAAATTGATTGAAATTCTCCGATCGAAATTCCGAGAAAATCGCAATTTCACGAGAGTTTAAGTAACACTTAATAACTACGGCAAATCTCCGCGACGTTCATATTTAATTATACCATAATTGCATTATAACTAACGGAGATCATGTAATTGTATCGTAATTATTAAATCTTGACTAACCTGTAGTCAACGACCTTACGGAATTGCGATGAGCTTTATGACCGGAATATCCGGTAAATGATTAAAAAGTATATCTTAATATACTGGGGGTAATATTATATTTTCTTTGATGAAAGTGACGTTATTAAAGAGATGGAATCGTGAAACGTTAATCGGCGCGTCGAAGGTCGCATGACCTTCGGCGCAAAAACCTTTTGTACGCGAGCTCTTGTATTTACAACAATCGTTCGTAAGAAATACGATTAATATTACTTGAATAATTTAATAGATAAATATTACTTGAATGCAGCAGGTCGAGAGAAAAAAAGTGCTGTATTCTAATAATATTGATTTTATCCAGATAAAATGATTACTGCAATACTCCTTATAATTACTTAGCAAATATTTACTCGAATGTAGCGCTTTTTTCGTTCAGTTAATAAGGAAAATCGCTCTTTTGTTTCAGATCTGGCAGAAATTTCGAACGCACCGTGAAAGCATATGCAGTGACTTCAGAGGATGCCGCACCGGAGGAGCCGGTTCGGGCCGAGCAGGGTCGGCTCGAAGGTACGTTCCTCAAATCTCTATCTTTCTTTTCCCGATCGTTTGCTGACGAAAGCCGGGACACAGTTGGTCGGGTAGGATCGGAATCTCGCCAGCAAAGGGTTAATCCACTCGTGTCTCTACGCGCACTTGCTCTCATCGAATCGAATTCGTGCATTTAATTAACGGTTCTTCCTTTTTTTATGTTACAGACTAGTTTCACTTAATAACAGCGGAACGTGGCCGACCGTGCGCTCCTGACGACTCGGTGAGTCCCAAAAACAGTGCGATTACAAATCTATTTACGGCTTTTTGTAGACTTTCGCCGAGTCAATGCGATTTATTTTGATCGTAGATTTTTCCCACGTGTTTTTATCTCTCGTTCAACTCGCCTAATTAGCCTGGAAGGACTATTTATTCGTGAATCCTTAATTGCCCCGAGGAATTCGATACCGCGCGCATGAAAAACGCGCGCTCCCTTCGCCTGCGCGCAGACGAATCTCCCGCGATCGCGACGGGAGTATCTTCAATCCGAGGCTTTGATTACTTCGCTTGCGCATTTCAATTTCACGCTTTTATTATTTCAATGCACGACTGTCGATTTCATTATCGATTAAACGCGATTCTAGCGCCGCGCGCGGGTATTCGCTGAAATCGTGCAACTCGTCACGCGCGACAGTTCAATAAAATTATCGGCGATTTCGGTATTTATATCTGTCGGTGATTTCGAAAATTAGAGTCTCGCGAAACGAGAACTTCGTTTCCCGACGAGTTACATCGCCCGCGGGACGAGATATTTTCCTTCGTGTTTCTGTTTTATCGGAAGCGCACTGCAATCTGATTGGCGATTTTTTCTATACGCGATACGCGCTGCTAGTGTTTGCTGAAATCGTACAACTCGCCGCGCGTAAGAGTTCGATAAATTTACTTTCGAAAATTCGGTATTTACATATCTGCCGTCGATTTCGAAAATTATCCCACGAAACGAGATATTTCCTTTTCAGCTTCCATTTCGTCAGGAGTACCGCGATCTTCCGCGGTTCGCGGAATTTTTTCAACTTCGCGACTCGCGAGTATTTGTTTGACAATTCAGAAATTTATCGTACGTTTCTCGTCGAGTCATTTCGAACGCCGTGCAAAAAGTAATCGCGTCGCGAGTGAAGTGAGAGACGCAGTCCGCCATCCTCGTTGGACCTCGTTGGACCTCATTGGACTTGGTTGGATATCGCGCAATGGTGAGCGACAACTTAGACGTCTACAATGCGTCATTTTCCGTAGTGCATGTGTAGACAAAAATCGCATTGATTTTCGGCGAAAACCTTAGAATTGCATTCATGAAATTTGGCGCATTATCAATAATCGAACGACGCGAATTTTATGAACTTTAATGAAGCGATACCGATATCAATTATAATCTGAAATATTTATTCTCTGACATTAATTCCGAGAATTTTAACTGACTGCTCGAATATACATGATTCTGGCTATTTCTGGCACGAGTCGCCGTACTCTTTATACTCTTACCGATATTACTATCGATGCTGCTACACAGAGAAAAAGGTTTCTTTGGGTTTAGCACACGTGCTTGTTTTGATCTGGATTTATTTCATACAAATAGCACAGTTTAATATCAAATGTCGTTCTGTTTGAACGAAAATGTTGTTGTTTAACTGGAGTGAATTATGTTGTTTGATCGGAAAAACACAGTATTATTGTGAGGAAATGTTTGGTTTTTCATAAAAGAAAAATTCACTTCGTTATATATTAAATATTGCTCTACTGAGACGAGGAAGAAGTTTTTTAATACAATCCTGCTCGTTGACTCAAACATTCGTTTGTTCCATAAGACGAATTCGCTTCAGTTGAAGATATTTTCTTAAGTTTCCGAAAAATCTCTTTTCCCCGCGCACGTCGGTCGATTCTACGCGCTCCGCTTCGGCCGAATACTTTTTGGCCGTCTTCCAATTATAATTCCGGAAAGAGACGAGCTCTAGTCTAGTAGTAGTCTAGTCTAGTAGTAGTACACATCCTGAGCTAATTGCGCGAATACTTGAGGCAATCGCGGCAATCGCGGAAGCGCATTGTTCGTATATACATTTTCGGAAATACGCATCGCCCGGTTCGGTAAAACGCGAATTCACGAAATCGCGAACACCGAGTACTTCCCCCTCACCACCCCGTGCGAATTTTCAGTTACATATGGTACGGAGAATAATAAAAATACCGGGGCATTCAAATGCCGTCGAACCGACGTTACTAATCAGGCAAAGTATAGCTCGTTTCCCTATCGCGGCTGTACGAGGAATCGTTTACACGTATTCTCGGAATAATCGTTAGCACTTTACTGCTCGTAAGCGACGTATTCACTCGCTAATGCTTCCTATCGGGGCTTCGTTAACGCCGGAACGGGGAAAAAAGGGCAGGGAGAGAGAGAGAGAGAGAGAGGTTGGTCGGTAGGTTTTGCATCCCCTCCTGTAAATTGTATTACTTTGTGATGCAAATGTCCATTGATCGGATAGCGGTTGTTGTTCCCGTCGACGGAATATCGGCCGCGCGTCGATAATTATCGGATAATCGACGGCTCCCCCCGTCTCGAAAGTTCCCCGACGATTCCTCGTACTCGGCGCGTACAAGGACACTCTAGTGTCACGTGATTCCGAATCGAGAGGTCACCGGGGTTATCTGCTCGCGGAGCTGAGATAACGAGCGGACGCATAGGCGACGTGATGCGGAGGATAGGTCGCGATAGTTGGCCCGCGAGACGAGACTCTCGAGGTGCTCGAGAGGTTCCGTCGCGGAAACCTCGCGAGACTTCGGAGAATTTCCGCTCCGTTCGAACGGCATTCGAATCGGCTCGAGATTTTCCTCGTGCATCCCGAGTGATCCGAGACACGTCCTGTTAGCCGACTCCGCGCTGGCCGGAGCCGCTCTCGGGGATTTTGAGTCGAGACGAGAACAAGCGGGTCAGAGGTGCGGCTGGGACGACCCGGGAGCACAGGAGCGAGCGAGAGAGAGGGGCTGAGGAAGGGAGAGAGAGAGAGAGGGCACTACGCTACCGCGGACGATCGTCTTGCAACGCGCTCGTAAAAGTCGTGCTCTTGCCGGAAACACTCTCGTACGTCCGACAGATATATCGTCCACACGCTCGAGCTTAATGGCAGTTACTTATTCAGACGGCCGAAAGAGCGTTACTTTTACGAGGTAATAAATAATTAGTCGATGCAACCACCCAGCCAGCCAGCCGGCCGGCCAGCCAGCCAACCAATGCGCGCGCGCGCCTTCTCCACGCGTCGAGTCAGTATGCGGCGTGGAAATGCGCGTCGCGAAAAAATATCGTTCTAATATTTGTCGACCGGGAGCGCGCCTCGCCCGGGCCAAAGTGATATAGCTCTCGAGCTTCCCTCATTCGGAAAGAAAAAAGACAAAAAAATGAGAACTCGCGAGGAGAAAGAGGGACTCGCCGCCGCGAGATCGCACTCGGTCGCGATCAGCGATGAAAAGCAGCTTGCAAGACAAGCACTTTCCCGATTTTCATATTTCTCCTAATTTGAAATCTGTTTAAATTTCTATACCAGTGTCGGTATCGATATTTTGATTCTGGCATTGAAATCACTAATAACATCGATATTCTCGATTAGACACCCGATTCAATATTAATATCGATGCTTTCACAGCATCCCCCTAATCGAGGCAGTTTTTTACGGCACTCACTGCGGAAGAGCGGGAGCTTCAGATTTTATCGTCGCGGGGGGGGGAATGAGTAATTATCCGGCGCTGAAAACGCGAGAGCCGTCGCTTCTTGAGCGGCATTTCGCTCTTGTTTTCCACTCGACGAGCTCGATCTCGCGAGACGCTTCATTTATCGCGCGCAACGTCGAAGCGCGCGTCCGCCGCGTGACGCGCGTCCGGCCCGGATGTGTTTCTACTCGCGCCGCTTCTTCTTCCGACGCGAAACGGCGCCACGTCGGCGCGCCCGGACTAAGAGTGTAGTAGACGGCTAAGGAGGGAGAGATCGCAGGAGCAGAGGAGAGAGCGACCTTTGGAATTGATTTCATCGGGGTTCGAATATGTTCGCCGAGAGAGAGAGAGAGAGAACTGGAGGGCCGATCCGCGCGGGATATGAGGGTGCGTTATAGACGTCACGAAATTCCTCTTCCACCGCGGAAAAGAGGAGGCGAACGGGGAAGCCGACGCGAGTAGGTTTCCCGAGGGCGAAGGAGCCGAAGAATTGATCAACTGCGGCTTTTTATTTGACACCGGGAATCTTTTATGCCGGCCGTGGAATGTTTTTATAGCGGCGCAAAGAGCTCTCTGCTAGCGTAGGTCGGAGGGTGTTCGTATAGCCTCTCGTCGTCGACAAAGGGGAGGGAACGAGAAGTCGACAAGAGAGAGAGAGAGAGAGAGCCCGGGGTGTACGTTCCCGTGCCGACGACCGAAAGCGGAGATAACAGGTCGTCGAGAATGCCGGCAAGCAGACCGACTCCGTATGCGTTAGAGGGAGGTATCAGAAGTCCTTGATCGTTATTCCGTCAAGATTTCCCCCCTTTCGTGCGCGTAAGGGACGCGAAATTTCATTGTGCCCGGTCTAATTCGGGGACGAGCGCGCTCGCGCCATTCAGGACTTAGCTGTGCGCCGCATGAATTATTCAAATTCAATGTGCAAACGCGGCACGGAACAGATAATAATTGTTGCGATAATTTTACATAACAAATAGGATAGGACGGAGTTTAATTAATGTGGAAGCATAATGCAGAAATTATGTTGTACCAATTAATATTATTATAATTAATCGATAGCGCACCGCGCGCGCTCCCTCGATTGCCGATGAGTTATCGATCGGGAGCTCTCGGTTTTGATTCTCTCGCGGCGAACTCGACGGATTCTTCCGTTCCGCCCGTTTTTTTTCCTCTCTCTCTCTCTCTTCTCCCCTTCTACCTTTCTCTTTTCGAATTACATCAGGTTTGACCGCGTGTCGCATTCAGTCGACGAGCGAGCGAGAGAGAGAGAGAGAGAGAGAGATTGAATTGAACGAAAACGAGCGCGTCGGGCGATCATTTTAATAATCGACGTACGTCGCGTAGGCTATTTTTGAATTTTCGCGGATTTATCGAAACATTTTTGGAGTGCGCGCGTTTTATTTTTGCGAAGATCGGGTTCTCTTCTCACGGTGTAATAAAAATAAAAATCCATGTATAAAAATGGCCATCTGAGCGGAAAATGTTCGTTCACTTTGTGCCTCACGCTTGTCCTCTCTCTCTCTCTCTCTCTTTCTCTACCTATCTATCTATTCATCTATCTATCTATCTACTCTTTCTCTCTCTCTCTCTCTCTTGGTCTCTCTTCTTGTCTCTTATCCCTTCAGCGGACCTATGCCACATTTATTAGAGTTCGGCTGCAGGTAGATCGATACTCGCCACATTCCGCAGCGGATTCCAAAGCAACGGAATTGCACGGTTACGTCTTGGATAGTCATGGACACTGCGTTACGGTATTTCGAGTTTCCAAAGGCTGTCATTATGACAGTGCGAGGTGACGTGGAAGATCTATGGGGAGAATGCCCCATTTAATATCCAATAAGTATCCCTCCGGTATTCCCGTATTCGCGCGGTCCGAGAGCAACCTACGCCGTCGATGGACGAAACGTCAAATTTATTATACACAGATACAGAACGAGAGAGAGAGAGAGAGAGAGAGAGGCTCCCTCGTTGCATTCTTCCTTAATATCGCAAGTCGCGCGGGTCATCCGGAAGACATGCGGTGACGTTCGAATTATCATCCCTTCGTCATTTTGACTCGCTCGCGAACTTTATGAGGGGAAAATCAACTCCGCCTCTTCGCTCGACGGTTTTCGCAATGCGGTAAAATCGAGGCCGACGAGAAATACTTCCGTATCGCTCGCATGACAAAAAGAGAGAGAGAGAGAGAGAGATTTTGCTCTCGTAAACACGGTCGACAAAAATGCAACGAGAAGCCGCGCACGCAGATTGCACTTGTCGAGAGCGCAACGCTCATTGTCGGTAATTATTACTTTCGTCGGGAAAATGGCACGAGTCGCGCGGGGAGAGGGAGGGTAGGTAGGTAGGTAGCGAAAGGTTGCGCGAGAGGACCGAGCGACGACGACGCCTCGCACAGCCACTCTTATACCGTATGCGGCTTCGCGTTATGGAACGCCATAACCCGGGCTCTATTCCGGAGTGCTCCTTATTCCACGCTCCTTCGCGGCTCTAACGCTCCTCGTAACGACGAAGAGCGCTCCGGACCCCGTGATGTCCCGTTATCGTGCGCAAATAATCGTATCAGCCGCCGATGCCCCCGCGGGATACGTGCGAGAACGTGTGCGTAATCGGTGATTGTGAGCGGCGCGCGTCCCGGCTAATTGTTCGATCAGTAATTTTCTACATACAAACTGTGCAACTTTGACATTAAGCGAACGTGACTTGACAGCTCCACGCATTATGTGCGCTTTTTGAATTTTCTTTCCACTTTTAGTCCTCCGTTTATCGTTGCGAGTGTGTGCACCTTACGCGTGTAAAAGAATTGTAAATTTTGCGACGCCACTTTGGAAAATAGCGGGACCTGTAATGTCGGTAATCACCGATTACTCCAGCATCCCCTTAAGGGATTGAATCCCAGAGCGCGCGATAAATTATGCTCTCCTCCTCTCTCTGTCTCTCCTCTTTTTTCCGTCGCACTGTGCAAATATCACTCGTCTTATTTTGCTTTTTTTCACTGCCACTTAATTGCGCCTGAGAGGAATTTTCCCGGAGCGTACGATAAAATTTTATCTATCCGTCTATTTATCTATCGCGAACGAGAGAATACCGTAACGCATCTCTCATTAGCGGCCCAGCTCGGCGAGAATCGCGAGAGGATATTCTCCCCCTCGTTTTCCCTTCTCCCCTCAGCCCCTCTTCCTCATCCTTTTTTTTTCTATTAAAATTCAAGGCAGCGGTGGTTTCGCGTTGTCGCGATTCTCAGCGACGCGGACGATACGCGCTCGCGTCGCGCACATCTAATATATATATGTTAGTGCTATGCGCGCGCGTATTACTTTTTGCGCCCGCGATTGTTGCAAATGGCCGCGCGCGCCAGTTGAAAGCTGATTTTATCGGCTATTGAATTTTCGCGCGCGTTACGGGTGGGACGTTACGGTTCACTTTTCGACGATCATCCGCTCGCGCCCCGGTGTTCATTTAACGGCCCCCCGTTCGTACGATCGAACAATCATAATCGCGACGTCACGGTTAGAAGAGGAGAAGGGGGAAGGGCGGGCTCGGTGCGACGCGAGAGGGAAATCAAATAATTTGATGTCGATCTGGCGATGTTTCATGCGAAAATAAATAAGTAAATGAGACATTTGCCACGCGGAAATTGCGAAACTTTCCCGGGCTGCGGTCGGTCGGTCGGACGGACGAACGGCCGCGAGAATCTATCAGCGGGTCTGTAAACTCGAGGACGGGCGACGTGTAAACGCGCGCGTTGAAAAGTTTGCATCGCGAGGCAAGACAGGCGGGTGGGCAGAATAAAAGAGAGAGAGAGAGAGAGGAGAGAGACGGATGCTTCCGGCGTCGGACGAGCCACAGCCGAAGGAACACCGGCGGGCGAGAGAGGCCACCCCCTCGTAAGACACTGTTTCTCATCCGTACCCCCAACGCCAGTTGGCGCATGCATCATCCGCGGCATTTTCCAGCGCGTTATTCCATTCCGATGGCGTAAGCCACATTCCCCCGTTTTACGTCGCAGAAATATCGGCGGGACGTGGCCGAGCGAGCGCTGCCAAACGGCCCTCGGACATCGCAACGACGGCCACCCTCTACGTGGAGCGGAGCAGCGTTAACGTAGCGAACGCGTTCGATAACGCCTGACGGCGTCGTCGACGGCGGAACCGCTTCCGGTTTCGGCGTTTTCGCCCATTCTCGCGCGCGATAATTCCGACCCCGACGCGGCCACGGACGTGATAAATGGATTACGTACCGTCGGATACCGTCTAACGCGATATTGTCAAGTATCAGGCTGAATTAGTTGGGGATTAGTTGGTCCGATACCGATACCGTCGTAAGTAACGCGGGCGCTTCCGGGGAGGCACCGCACTCCTTTCGCCCACCCTTCCGGACGGAATTATATTACACGTTTTCTTACTTATACCTTTGCCGCGCGCATCGAGACGAATAATCGGGAATTCCATTCGCGGGCATAAATT